CGGGTAGGGCAGGTCGGGCGGCTCGGGAGGAAGGTCGCCAGGCGACACGGCCGCTAGGCTGCTGGGCGGCTCGGCTCCCGGGCGGCTCGGCTCCCGGGCGGCTCGGCTGCTGCTGGGCGGCTCGGCTGCTGCTGGGCGGCTCGGCGGCTCCTGGGCGGCTCGGCTGCTGCTGGGCGGCTCGGCGGCTCCGGGCGGCTCGGCTGCTGCTGGGCGGCTCGGCAGCTCCGGGCGGCGCGGCTGCTGCTGGGCGGCTCGGCTGCTGCTGAGCGGCTCGGTGGCTCCGGGCGGCTCGGCTGCTACTGGGCCGCGTAGGTAGGGCGGCCGGGCGGGCCGCAGGTAGGGCGGCGGGGAGGCCGCAGGTAGGGCGGTGGGACGGCCGCAGGTAGGGCGGCGGACAGCCGCAGGTAGGGCGGCGGGTAGGCCGCAGGTAGGGCGGCGGGACGGCCGCAGGTAGGGCGGCGGACGGCCGCAGGTAGGGCGGCGGGTAGGCCGCAGGTAGGGCGGCGGGACGGCCGCAGGTAGGGCGGCGGACAGCCGCAGGTAGGGCGGCGGGGAGGCCGCAGGTAGGGCGGCGGGTGGGCCGCGACAGAGTGGCGGGGCCGCTACGAAGTGGCGGGGCCGCGCGAAGAGGTAGCGGGGCCGCGACTGGGTGGCGGGGCCGCGTCGAAGGGGCGGGGCCGCAAGTAGGGGTAGCGGGGCCGCGACTGGGTGGCGGGGCCGCGACGGGACGGCGGGGCCGCTAACACGGCGGCGGGTGGGCCACTAAGGTAGGGCGGCGGCTGGGCCGCGAGTAGTGTCAGAATATTATCTTATTGTTCTAGCCTGTAGTGGGGTGCTCTATAGCGAGTACAACCCTTCTAGGGTTTGCTATTTGTATCCTCATTCTTGGTAGTTCAATCCTCTTTCTTTCTTCTAATTTTGACATGCTATCAGAGCAGGTCGATCCCCTTGAATCGATCCTGTGGGTGTGTCCCCACCTTGCTTCCGCTGCTAATTTTTCCTCCCGCCGTGCGCCCCGAGGCGCGCGGCGGTTTTCTGCCCGCCGTGCGCCCCAAGGCGCGCGGCGGTTCATTGCCCGCTGTGCGCCCCGAGGCGCGCGGCGGGCTTCTCCCCTTCGTCGCGGCCCCGCCCCGGCCCGTCGCCGCCCGTGCGCCTGCCCGGCTCGGCCCCGCTCTACGTCGCGGCCCTGCCCCGGCCCGTCGCCGCCCGTGCGCCTGCCCGGCTCGGCCCCGCTCTACGTCGCGGCCCCGCCCCGGCCCGTCGCCGCCCGTGCGCCTGCCCGACTCGGCCCCGCCCTACCTTCGCGGCCCCGCCCAACGTTGCGGCCCCGCCCTATGTCGCGGCCCCGCCCTACGTCGCGGCCCCGCCCTATGTCGCGGCCCCGCCCCGACCGTCGCGGCCCCGTCCCTCGTCGCGGCCCCGGCCCCGTCCCCCCCCCCCCCCCCCCCCCTTTTTCTCCCCTCCCCCCCAATTCCCGTCGCCCGTCGCGGCTCCTTCGGGGGCCGGCGAGCTGTGGGGTGGCGGGTATGGGGGTGGTCGGTGTGCCTTCCTCCCTTTCTCCTCCTCCTCCTTCGTCTCCCACTGCTGCAGCTGTCGCTGAGGGGGGTGGTTGTGTGGGAGACTGGGTTTAGGGTTTAAGGGGGGTGCGTGGGAGTAGAGCTAGTGGTGTAGCAGTGGGTGTGTATCAGGGGGGTGGGACTGTGTGTGGGAGGATGAGCGGAGGTTGCCAGTTTGTCGTCAGCAGCACCTGTAGTCCGGGGCGCTGTCCCGGTAGCCCAGTCGTAGCCAGCTGTGCCAGCCGCCCGTGGGTCCGTTGCCCGTCCGCCGCTATTTGAGCCGCGGGGCCTGTTACTCCTGTAGTCCGGGCGCTGTCCGGTAGCCGCTGTGCCAGTCTGCCTCCTGTTGCCCGTGTGTCTGCAGCTTCAGCCGTCGCCTCCTGTCTCCTCTCCCCTCACTCTCCCTCCTCCTCCTCACTTGCCCGTTGTGACTACCACTAGCTTTGCTTATAATTGTACACTCTAAACTATTTCTTCTTGAACTTGTGCTCAGAATGTGTGGTGACATTGTGATCCACCCTGAGCTTGTTTTTGCTTTGCCTGCTCTGCTGATTACACCCCACTTTGGCTATGGGGGTGTGTCAGAATATTATCTTATTGTTCTAGCCTGTAGTGGGGTGCTCTATAGCGAGTACAACCCTTCTAGGGTTTGCTATTTGTATCCTCATTCTTGCTAGTTCAATCCTCTTTCTTTCTTCTAATTTTGACAAGTAGGGCGGCGGTCGGGCCGCGAAGTAGGGCGGCGGGGCCGCGAAGGAAAAGGGCGACTCGAAGGGTCGCTAAAAAAAAAAAGGCGCGCGCCTCGGGTGCGCTTCGGTGGGCCCTAAAGAACAGTCCCTAGGATGGGACCTGCTCTGATTCCATGTGAATAAAGGAACGTGAATGAAATGACTATGAATGAAGTGAGTACAAATAGGAAACCCTAGTTGGGTTGTACCCCCTATGGGATACCCCACTATAGCCTACACAAATAAGTAAGCTATAATATTCTGACACTCTTCTACCGTGACCCAGTACCTCGGGCTCAACATCCGCGAAGAAGAAAATGCGATCTACCTAAGCGCCGAGAAATACGCCGACACCATCGCCAAACGTTTTTCACTCACACCTACCGCCATCGCCACACCATACCGCTACACGGCAGGAAACGACAAGGGAAATTCCGCTCCACTCAAAGCTGCCGGAATACGAGACTACCAAAGGAAACTGGGCTGCCTTCTCTTCGCAGCTGTCACCTGTCGCCCGGATCTATCCTACTCCGCAAGCCAACTCGCCACCTATCTCAAGAAATCCGAAGCAAAGCATCTGGCGGAGCTCGATCGCGCACTACACTACTTCGTGAGCACACCGACGATCGGCGTGACTTACTACAAAGGCGAAGCTACGACGACGAAACTAATCGGCTACGTCGATGCTGACCATGCCGGCGGTTCTGATAACAGACGCTCTCGCACTGGCTACGTCTATCGTCTCGAGCCTATCGGACCTATCTCCTGGCAGTCGAGTAAGCAGGAACTAATCGCTCTCTCTTCAGCTGAAGCAGAATATATCGCCCTCTGTTCAGCCACCAAGGAAGGACTCTACCTTCGCGAGCTGCTGGAAGAAGCAAGGTTAGCCGAGTTACCCAACTTCACCCTATTCTGCGACAACCAATCTGCAATTCGCATCGCCAACAAAAGCGGATTCGCGAACACAACGAAGCATATCGCTCTGCGATACTTCTTCGTGAAGGACGAGATCGAGAAAGGGAAACTCGAATTATCCTACTGTCCCACGTCCGAGATGGCAGCCGATTATTTGACCAAGAAACTCGGAAAACAGAAGTTCGAGTACTGCATGATGCTGACCGGACAAGGCCACGTCACCATCAGCGACACTCCAGAAGCGAAGGGGAGTGTTGGGAATAATAAGTCTTAAGCGCCTCTGTCGTGTCGAAACTCAGGACACTAGCGAAGTAGTCCGAATCGAAGCATCGCGAGTCAACCCTCGGAGGTTAGGGTAACCGCCTGGAGGTTACGAGAAGGTCAAAGGTCAGCGACCTTTGACTTGACAAATACAGCGCGACAGCAAGGACACACAACTGACTCGACATTGAGCAGTTGCCCGAGTCGCACTGTAGCGAATCGCAACAGTAAAACGGGTTTAACTTATCTATTCGTATTCCTTGTACTCTTATATAAACCTTTGTATTTGCTTGTTTAATTAACTTACTTTGCCCTCACATACTAGCGCAAGGTGGTTCAAGTAATTTCATTCAAACGCTTCCGCTACTACAATTCTACTCAGACTTAAACTCTACAAAGATCCTAGGGCATTTCAGCCCAACAAGTTTGTGACGCCTAATGTTTCAAATGTTGTGGTAATATTTGTAATGCTTGAAATTTTGAGGTAGCCTCGGACGGTGCGATCCTGTCATTCCAAAATTTGGGGTTATATGAGATAGAAATATTTACATGTTGCATTCCCAGATTCAATGCACTTGTTTGTTCCAATTGCAAAATATATCATAGATATTTTTGCAAATTAGTAGGCCTCCATCACACCTCAACTTGACCACTACACCCAAATTGGCTTTGTATCGGGGCGCTCAACATTTGTGATAAGGTTTGAATGTCTTCTTGAGCCAGCTGTTTAGCCCCGTCCCTAGCCCGGAGCCCCTGCTGGAACCTGAAGTAGCGAGCCCCTTTTTGCCGTACCTCTAGACGAGGTTCGATTGGTCTGGTTTCTCGTCTGAAGGTTGGGATTGCTCATTTTCCGTCCCAATTTGACGGACGGACGGAATGGGCCCGCACAAATTATCGAAGGGGGTACCCGTGATGGCGGGCAGGAGGAACGGCCGCAGGTAGTGCCTGCTTGAGCCAGGCAAATTGGTGATGTTTGGAACTTGGCTCCCCAAGTGTACGTCGCACATCACCAGAGTAACAACTCTGTACCGTAATGAAAACCTCACACACCAAAACCAGCACCGCGTGCCTCCAAAACCACTCTGCCCTCAAACTGAACCACTCCATATCTACGGTTTCCACTTCTGTTCCCGAGTATATTGCAGGTAGACAGATTCAAACCACCGCCCCCGAATTTGCCTCACTAGAGGATGGGGACAATGGAGCTTGGAGGAGCTTGGTTCTCATCTGCTTGTATGAAAGCAGTAATGTGTGTCTTGAACTCGCAGTCTGGCACTTTGGCTCATGATCGTTTGAGCTAAGGAGGCAGTCATAAGTAGTTCCTGATCCGGCATCTCCCAGCGTCATGTCGGGTACGAAGTCGCTATCACATGTCATTCGGAAGGATTTTGTAACTTGAAATGTCTTTCACTATTCTTCTGGCGTGCCCTTCTCTTAGCAGCTCTTTCATCCGTTCAATCCCAGGGAATTACTGTATACTTAAAGTTTATAATCTCCCAAAATAAAGCCGTTTTCTATTTATGTACACGCGCTTCTGCAGATCCGAGGTATCCTCACGGCTATCCGCCTCCGCAGGGTTATCCAGGGTATCCTCCTCAGGGCTACCCTCCACCGCAAGGCGGTTATCCTCCGCAGCAGGGTTACCCGCCTCCACCCGCCGGCTACCCTCCTCAAGGGTATCCTCAACAGGGTTACCCACCCGCCGGTTACCCCCCTCAGGGATACCCCCCACAGGGTTACCCGCCTCCTGCCGGCTATCCGCCTCAAGGATACCCGCCTGCCGGTTATCCGTCTGGTTCTGCTTACCCCGCACCCCACGGCTACCCAAGTGAGTCTGTAAATTCTAACCGTGAATGAGTCTGAACGCACCCCACGCCATTCTAACCATAATGTAGTGGGCTGAGCGGGCTTTCCGCTGCCAACCCGAGCGTTTTATTCGCAACTTACAAAATATTGAGTCATTTGGACTGACTCTTATATTTTATTTTTACTGCATACGGTGTACTTGTTACTGCGATTCAGTGATAGTTGTTTGGCAATGGAATGCAGCCAACGGATTAGTGGGAGGTACGTACATTTGGCATTTTATAGTGTATGGTGTGAGTCCCAGCCCGTCTCAGGAGAAACATGAATTGTTTCAAGATAAGCCATCACGAGCAGCAACTTTAGCTACAGTCCGCATTTGATTATGTTACGGACCCCACTTATTGGTGGCCGGTCGAGGCAACCAGCAAGATTCACCGTACATCACCGATATGGGTCTAAAACGTAACTCTTAAAACCGAAGTGTTTTCAAACTCTAAATTGGCCGGTTGAGGCAACCAGCACAGGCTAACGAGGTACGTAACACGCTCTAAGGTACCAGATTTGACGTATCGGTTCAGGTCGTGTTTACAATGAGCCCGAAATTGGCATTAGCAGCAGCCGTTGCTTGAACGTCGCCTTTGGTGGACGTTGCAGCCTTGCATATTCCTGAATCGTATTTCATTTTGCATCTTTGTTTCCTTGTGAAATGTACAGGAAGTATGTTGTTCACTCGCGTTTGCATCATAATATCCTTTCTCTACTATCTGTGGTCTTGTCTGGTGTGGCTATGCAGCTGGTCATGTGGCTCACGTGCATGTAGCCCATCACAAAAAGCACAAGAAGGGGAAGTACAAGGGCTTCATTGGCAAGCGCAAGGGCTTTCTTGGCAAGCGCAAAGGCTTTATTGGCAAGCGCAAAGGTTTCATTGGCAAGAGGAAAGGCCTCTTTGGCAGACGTAAGGGTTTCTTTTGAGAATGCGGGTGTAGAATTTGTGACTCTCAGGCTATTGCATGATAGTGAGTCTATTTGGGAAGTGTTAAACGTTGGGTTGGTGTGTTCATTTCCATATTATGAAAAGGGATACCTGGTAGTGGTGGTGTGCTACCCAAGACCTGTAATACTGTAGACGCACTGCACTACTCAGTACCTGCATTCAACTCCACTCAAAACTGATTCTCACAAAGGGAGCAAAGCAAAGAGGATTGATAGCTGGAAGAATGTGTGTGCGTACTATCTTCATCTGGAAGAATGTAAGACATCCTATTTTATGCTGTATCTTATAAATCTTATTAAAGGGAAGGTTTCAGATGAACACGTTTCTCTCATACAGCGAGACAGGAAAGTGTACTCAGCCACACATCACCATACCAAAACTTAACGCAACATACCGAAGCACACCAAATCCAACACTGCTAGCCTCCAAAACCACTCTGCTTACTCACTGAACCACTTCATATAGATGTTTTCCCTTCCTCCTCGTTCTCCCAGTTCTATGCGGCCAGACAGACAGATTCAATTTGCCTCCCTGACGGGAGGTGATGGAGCTACTCTGTGTCGTGAACTCTTCAGTCTGGCAATTCGGCTCATGTTCTGAGCTAAAGCGGCAGTCATAACTGGTTTCTGATCCGGCATCTCCCAGCGTCATGTCGGGTAAGAAGCCGTTATCAGATGTCTTTCGGATGGATATTTTGAAACGACTTTGGCTTCCATCAATTTTCCGGCACGCCTTTCGTTTAGCATTTCTTTTTGTTGAATTCTAGTGTTTATAATAGTTTTGCTTAGAGCTTTTTGAAACTACTACCGTCGATGTGTGTACGCGCGTTCCGTTTCCGCAGATCCGAGGTATCCTCACGGCTATCCGCCTCCGCAGGGTTACCCAGGAGGATACCCTCCTCAGGGTTACCCTCCACCGCAAGGCGGTTATCCTCCGCAGCAGGGTTACCCCCCTCCACCTGCCGGTTACCCCCCTCAAGGATATCCTCAACAGGGTTACCCGCCACCCGCCGGCTACCCCCCTCAGGGATACCCGCCACAGGGTTACCCCCCTCAAGGATACCCGCCTGCCGGTTATCCGCCTGCTTCTGCGTACCCCGCACCCCACGGCTACCCAGGTGAGCCTGAAAGTTTAAACCGTGGATTGCGCAGTGAATTGCGCGGAACTGCGACTGAATCTTGTTGCTGTTAGGGTTGGAATGTAGTTGTAGACGTGGATTCACCACCGCGAGTGTTTAACGACCTACAGCTACCAGGTAAGCTTGACAGTCGAGTGGACTCCCTGATTTTCCAGATGAGAATGGCGCTCGTTAGGGTTGGAATTTAACAGTACATGTTGACTTCAGTGACACTGCCACCGAATCAAGGAATCGCCGCGAAGTAGTGATCTTGTCGAAAGTTCCTAGCGCATCTCGAGAGAAGTCGGAAAGGCAGCCAAGATAAGCCATCGCGAGCTACATCTCCGCTTCTAGTTCGCCTTCGTAACAGCCACGGGGAATTTCTGGCACTTGGTTATTTGAGTGTCAGCCTTTCATGGCCGCTGGTTGTAGAAAGGGAATGCCCTTGAACGTCTTATTTTTCTCTTCCGTGTTGCCTTGGGGAGATATGTGTCGGTCCCTTGTGTGCGTCTTCAGAGTCTTTTAACTCCGCTGAGTGTCTTTTTGTGTGTTGATATGCAGGTGGTCATGTGGCTCACGTACATATGGGCCACCACCACAAGCACAAGTACAAGGGGAGGAAGCACAAGGGCTACTATGGCAAGCACAAAGGTCATTTTCATGGCAAACGCAAGGGGTTCTTTGGTAAGAGGAAAGGGTTCTTCAAGTAAGCTGCCTATTGAGAATGGTACATGTTCTGCTTGGAAAGTTGTACATCTGTGAAGAGCTTTGTTGACTGAGGTACATTTTGCTTATTGATACTGTGCTTACAATTTTATATAGTTAAGAGTCTTGTTCTTAATGAGACTAGCAGTTTATCAGTTTTACATGTACTTCGATTCCTGAAGTTGATTGTGGTTGTTGGTCTGATCATATGATGTGGTGTGTTTACAAATGAGTTTCAGTCAATGAGGGTCACCAGAATTGCTTGTTCGTGCGCTTTCGTCCGTTGGGGTTGAAGCCTTGTTACACCTACTGCATTCACGAAAAGGGGTAGCCTTCTGTGTCTGTCCCTAAAAGGAGCTTTCGTCAAGTTACCAACTTCAGCCATCAAAGTCACGAGCGCGTCTCGGATACAAACACAACAATGGCGGGCTCATACTCCCGCGTCGCGCAAGCCCCAATTTCCAAATTCGCCGGTGCGCGAAAGTGTGCCGCTTCCTCATGAGAAATCGGGAGATTTTCGGTCAAGGACTCAAACCGCGGTTCAAGTCGGTCAAGTTGGGTCTGTATTGATTGAACTGGGCTAGCTTGTGGTGGCTTGTATTGGTTTGTGGTTGCTTCCAATTGAGTTTCATGCAGTAGCCCGCTGAAGGTGGGGCATGTGTGACAAGAAATGGGGCTGATAAACTTGTGGACTGAGTCGCAAATTGTGACGTGATCTGTGCGCAATCATCCTACAATCCATCACAACATTGTCAACACACCAGAAGTTCACTAACTGAACGCCCTGGCGGTCCCGTTGGGTGCACTTGTGAGTGCCACCCGTGCCATGAATGCATGTTACTTGGAAGCTTGCCTTTCCCCCTCGCAGCTCTGCTATGCTTCCACGCATTCCAAGACACAGACGCCGCTCCGACTTTCGTCCGTACCGTTCGTGCATATACCTCGCGGGGCCTACCTCGTTAACTATTTTGCCCCACCATGATTCTCTGAACAATGTAGATAGGCGCACTGAGTATTGTTTACCATAGTTGTCTGAAACGAATTAAGTTGGAACTCTAACAAGCCGTATCACTCTAGACAATAATAGGAAGCGCGTTAAGTTCCTCATCACCGTCAGAAACATCGACGCTCGGCGAGCATCCGTTCGGCCAATTTACCACAAGAGCCAGCAGAACTCTTTTTCTCTCGTTCTTGCTTCCCGCTGCTAGGATTGAGCCGTAAAATCCCCGCCGCCAGTCGCGCGTTCTGGAAAGAAGTACTGGCAGGAGCTAGTTGCAAGAGAGGTCGTAGAACGGGCAGAAAGAATAGTCGGCAGAGTTAACAGAGGTAGTAAGAGTAGTCAGGGAGATGGAGGTTGACAGGTTAAACCACGATAGTCGAGACGACGATACTCGAGATATTCGAGACGCGAAACGCGGCGTTCGGGAAGGTAGACTGCGCGTGCGGAGATTGATCGCCGAGCGCGTCGCAGCGCTGCGCGAGTTGGCTGTGGACGTGGTTCGGAGCCGCTGGCACTACCTCTTAATCGACTTCCTCTTAGTGGCGCTGGTGGCCGTGCAGTTGTGGCGCCACGTGTCGCAAGTTGATTGGAGCAGCCGACCGCCCGTCGCGGATTTCGAGGAGATGAAACTTGAGAGCAGCGCGGATGGGCTCCCGAGGTGCGTAGATTCGCGCGTACGTACGGCTGTGCGTATAATCGTACGGACACAGGCACGAACGAAGACACGAAATGGATGCATGCGTACGACAAGAGTGGTTAGGAATGGACAAGAGTGGCTAAGTGTGGTTAAGAGTGGCTGAATTGTGCGTTTGGCAACTGCATCAGGAGCGTTCTAAAGCCCCCTCGCACGTCTTTCTTTTTTTTCGTTTTGATCTCTACTATACACTCATCCTCGCTTACCCTCAGGCACTAATCCACCAAATTTAATCCCGCCGCAAACCTCCTTGACCCCCATCTCTGTCGCTACTTGCCTCTCCCGACACTTCCCGCTTGTGCGCAGTATTCTTCCCCTGACTCCACGGTATTTTCAAATCCCTCCATCCGTACCTACTACCCTCCCTTTCCCCCCGTCCTCCCATTCCCTCCCCCCCCCCCCCCCCCCCCCCCCCCCATCCCTCTTCCTTCCCCTTCCCATTCCTACTGTCTTTTCATCCTCCCCTGTGTGCAGTTTCTTCGCCTGGCCACCCGCCTCTGATACGCAAGCCTCCCCTCCCTCTCCATCCTCGCTAAGAGCGGAGTCGGTTCACGCAAATTTCCGCCCGTCAAAGTCACACTCGTCGCAGTCACACCAGATCTCGCCAGACGTTGTCTCGTTAGTATCGACCCCGGGATTGCAACAACTGCGGGGAAAGCCCGCGCAACAGATGCAGCCGTTAATTCTGACTCCGTCTGAGACGCGCAAATCTGAGCCGTCGGATGATTCGTCAAATCCGGCGGCTAGCAGCGGCATATCTGAGAACGCAACTGCTGGTGTGCTGGATGCTGACGTGGCAGTTAAGCTGTACAGTGCTGCGGCAGGTTATGACACGGCATCTAGTGATGATGACGTGGGACCATCAATCTCATGGATTCCCCGGACTCCGGATCTACCACTCTGCTTGACGTCCACGTCGGCAGAGCCAACGTCCCCGTTACAAGCAGCACCAGAACCCGCTATAACGCGTGGCGGACTGTTTGTATACGGCAGCAGCTGTTCCGCCTGCACTGTAGGCCACACCTGCACGTTCTTAATCAGCGTCGAATCGCCAGGCGCCACGTGGACGCTCCCTCCCGTTGCTGACGCGACCAGTAATGATAGCAGCAGCACCAACACCTCTCCTTCCACTGCTGCAGTTACAGCCACTGCTCTTGCTGCTCCTCCTGCCACCACAACCACTGCCACCACCGCCACCACCGACACAGCATCACCATTCAATTACCCCGCCAATTCCTCCGTGCTGAGTTGGTGGAAGCGTGAGCTCGCTCTCTCCCTCGCCGGCCCTTCACTGCTCCACGCCGACCCTGTTTGTGCCGACCCTCCCGCCTGCTCCCGATTCGTCGTCGCTTACCGAGCCTGGGATGCGGGGACGTACCGGTGAGTGATTGATTAGCTGATTCGGGAAGTGGTTGAAATGTGGATTTGATATCGATTGATACGTTGTTCTGATGGCGACTAAAAAGTACTTTTCATACTGACTGATAAGTTGTTTCGTTGGTGCTCGACAAGTTATGACAGTGGATACGTCAATCCCCTCTCACCTCCCTTCTCAAGCCTCATACCTCTTTCTTCTTCTGTGCATTTTTAAAAGTGATCTTTTGAGACGTCTCAAAATATCACTTTTATCATGTAACCCCTTCTCACCTCCCTTCTCAAGCCTCATACCCCTTTCTTCTTCCGTGCGTTTTTCCTCATAGCATCATCGTCTATCTTCTTCTCTCTTCACTCTCATTCATTTCTCACCTCTCGTGTCTTCATTGCAGGGCTTCCCTCCATGCAGGATGCTCCAACCTCCTCCTTACACCCTCATCTTCTTCATCTTCCTCATCTTCCTCTTCTTCCTCCTCCTCCTACTCCTCCCCTTCTTATGCTGACGTCACTCATGACGTGGCAGCATGGACCATCACAATCCTCCCATCATCCCACACACTCCCGCCCAGCACACCCCTCCTAGCCAACACACAGCCTACCTCTTCAAGTGAAGCAGCCGCCAATAACCAGCCATTTCATAACGAAGCAGACAATAGCGAGGATTTCTCGCGCCGGCTGCTGCTCCTGGCGATGGCAGGGCAGTCGAGTGTGGGAGGCGAGGCAGCAAGTGTGGAGGAGCGAGTTGGGAACTCCACACTCGAATATCAAACCCTTGGAGGGGAATTAGTCCCTCCTGGGACACCTTTTGAGGCGCTTCCAGACGCTGCTCCTGGCGACAGCAGGGCAGGCAGCGGAAAGGAGAAAGTAGGAAACTCTGTACTAGCTTCCCATGCACCTCAAGCAGACTTGGCCACTCATGGGCTGCCACGTGTTCTAAAAGAGAGAGCACAGGAATCCGAGAAGAGAGCAGAGAACGAGGGAGAGGATGAGACGATGCAGGTGACTAGCAGAGGCGGTGAACAGGAACAGGCGGCGGAGGGGAGCAGTAGTCCGTGCAGCGGGTCAGTTATGGGGAGATGGCTTGAGATTAATCCTGAGAGCGATGCTAACAGTGCCAGTGCCAATGCCAGTGGCAGTGGCAGGGGCGTCGGCAGCAGGGGCAGCAAGAGTAGCAAGAGAAAAGACACCTGGAAGTGGGTACCTTTCCCCTGTGCCCCTCCAGAGACC